AAAAATCACGCTGTATAATAGCGGTCAAAGTTCCGAATTTGTTTCCAGTTAAGTTAAGCGGTCGTGGCCACCCCTAACTGAGTTCCAACGGTAATTCGGTAATATCAACTAAGTTGAAATTGTAAATTGGCCACCGTAAAGAGTTAAAAAGCTGACGTTTCGAGCGTTAGCTTTCGTCAGAGCGGAGTGAGTTCCAATGGCCTATTTGTATTGTCTTCCATCTGTGTTGAACTGGCGCTTAAACTAGAACCACTCAAATGCGACAAGGAGCAATCTTTCGAGTATCTTTCAATCCATGTTTCTCTCCTAAAATTAAAGTAAGTGAAAAGTGTGAATCACTGGAATTGTCATGGTTGCGTGACAAGATGTAATCGACTGTGTAATCGTAAACAAAGAGGAAGTTTAAAATGTTTAATCCGCTGTATTGAGATTTCGCAGGCTCAGTCAGGTGGAAAGCCTGCTAGATTTTGCCACGTCTAGGTCAACGTGTTTAGTCTAGTTTAAAAGTTACTGCAGGGATTATTTAGATTATTTCCCATTCATAGTTCACAACCACAAGCAACACAATCTACCTGTATACTTTTCTTGATTCAAACATGGAAGGGATCCTTTATATTTTGATGTGTGCACTCCTTGTAAACAGCTGTATTTGTGCAGCTACCACCGCAAGAGAGAATCGGCCGAAACCACATGAAGATATCTCCTTATCGGAAAAAGAGCACGAAGTAGATGGTGAGCATAGCTCAGAGTACGACCACGAGGCCTTCCTAGGAGACATGAAAGATGAATACGATGACCTGCCCCAGGAGGAAGCCATAAGACGTCTAAAAGTTTTGGTCAAGAAAGTAGATGCCGATAAGGACGGATTTGTCACGGAAGAAGAGCTGACAAAATGGGTGAGAGATGTGTTCAGCAAACGTCTGCTGGAGGGAGTGGACGAAGATTTGAAGTCAAAAGACACGGACGGGAATGGCAAATTAACCTGGGATGAGTACACAAAGGCGACCTACGGCCCGGAGGAAATGGAAGATGATGCCGATGAAGAAACAAAGAAGTTGTTGAACACGGACAAGAGGCGATTCGATACAGCTGATAAAGACAAAGACGGAGCCCTCACCAAGGAAGAGTTTGTTCACTTCATGCATCCAGAATCATCCTCAGAGATGGGCGATATTCATGTTCTGGAGACTATTGAAGGTTTGTAATTAGTTAACGAAAATTTTACCGAAATGTTTTCGTTGCATTTTTAAGTCTTACTAGATTGTACACGTGTGCTTTCAGAGAAAATACACGTTCATATCAAAATAGATCAGGTCCCGCCCGCATTGCGTTGAGTATTGATTGGCGAGTATTGATAATTCTAATTACAGTAATTAGCCAAAACAGTTTTTCTTCGTTTTTAAAGTGTAACACAACCATAATATTTCTCTGTTGGACTGTGAAACGATTCTAAAAACATTGTTGCCGTTTTAAAACCGTTGCATAGAATTGGGAAGGAATTTTAATTAACGTTTAAGACTTGATCTTTCTTATGTAAATCAGAGATATTGGATTTCCAATTCATTTTTCTTTTCAATAAATTATCTACACTTTTCAACATAAAAATAGAGTAGTAGTTTTTGGAATCACAAAAAGTGACAAGTTATGTTTCCATGGAATTCTGAGGATAAAAAAGATATGTATTAAAACATATGCTCCTAACAATCAAATAGTATCAAAATTAGTTACAATGGCTCTTGGAAAAAACAACTTTTGTGTAGGTCATCTATAATCATCAATCCTATCTAGCCTTGTGAATATCTTGGCATGTTTTGCGTGTTCTTTGCTAAAAGGCAATAATGTCTTCTAAACAAACAAACCTTTTTTTCCACTGCTCTGTAGCATCTTTTGGGCACCCTGAAATTTACACACCTTAATTGGTGGATATTTTGGTTCCCTAATGATTTTTAATCAGTGACCAATTTATTTAGCTGTGTTTCTTCTGCTCTGATCTGCATTTTTCATGACAACCTGTCATTCCAGGTGCTTCTCAACCTCTTTTTGTCATCCCTTAAAATTCAAGATTTCTGTCAAAATGTCTTGCCATAAAAGATTTCCAAAATAAATATTAAGTCTTCTGAGAGAAAGACAAGGGAATTTTCAAACACTTTTTTGAAAGCATCTCTTTACCTAAGCCTCGTCACATTCAATAACAATACCCTCTCATTTATGGTTTCTATGTACTGGCATTTTTGCCTTGTTTTTCCATTTGACTACAAACCAGTGACAGTTTGAAACCAGTCTTGCCCAAAGTTTTAATTTGCATGACAGAGAACTTCCAATCAAAACCCATTTTAATTCATTTTAACATAAACATCTTTGAAATGTAGGTGTAAAAAGGAACTAAAAAAAGCCTTTTAACACAATGATGAACAGAATACTCACAAAAATTCAGCGTCAACTTAAGTGCCTCTGAGTCCTGCTCAACTAACTTCTCCCGCCTGCTTGACACTTGTTACAAAGTCTAAACTTGAGAAACAAAATGAATATTTATGACATCTTTCTTGCCCTTTAGGAAATGTTTATTCTTTTTTAAACTTTTTTTTATCTGTAGCTCTTATGGAAATTTTGTAAATTTGGAGGTTGGTTGAAGATCTAAATTATATTTTTGTTTTGATTTTAAATTTTGAATTCAAATTAACCAATGGCTAAGTGAAGAAAACTGTTCTGTTTTATAGATATTGATCGTGACAAGGACGGTTTTGTCAGCATGAAGGAATTTTTGGGAGATTTCGAAGATCCTGATGACAAGGAAGCCGATGAACCTGAGTGGGTGAAGGAAGAAACCAAAAGGTTCAATGAGGAATATGACAAAAATCATGATGGCAAACTTGATAAAGACGAGGTAAACCTTATAATCCCAACACCCGAAAGGCACTTGTCACTTACAAATCTATTGAAGAGCCTGACTTGCCAAAATATTAGTTATGGCTCACTTGATGGAGCATCCAGTTACAAAATTGGAAGTGGCTTCTGAATCCTGAGGCAAAAATCAGATTTTTGTGTTTGTTTGTTTGTGTTCCTTATTTTTACTTGAGACAAGTATTTACCATCCTAGCTCTGGGACTAGAAAAAGTGTCTCTTGTTTAGAGGTGTCCCTTCTGTAAAGGTAGCAAATACAAAGGTTATAGCAGCATCTAATTTAGTTAGTCTGTGTCTCTTTGATAGAAGCCTTCAAATGAACAGTTCAAGGAACTGTATTTGATGTCCCCCCGAAAGAAACAAAGCCAGTTATAACATGAAGCAAATTCATCAGCTCACAGATATCTGACTTTTTGGATTTTTCATGTACATGTATTTCCCTTAAATCTTTCACTGCATGGAAAATTAAATCTCTCACAAAAAACGACTTTGAATTTAAGGATTGCAATACAAACATTGCTGACTTTGAGTCAGATGATAAATCATTGTGAAAAAAGTTTAGAAACATCTAGGTTTGAGTCTGGCGGTAAAATTTTGCACTATGTCCATTTGAAAGTTGATGAGAATCCTAGACAAGTGACAAAGTCTAAGTCCTATCATTCAGTCAGTGGAAAATTTGAAACATTTGTTGATCTTTATGGGGCTCAGAGAGGGGAGGAAAAGCACTGTAATAATTTCTGCATCTTGTTATTATAGGTGAGGCAATGGATTCTTCCTGAAACTGATCACATGATGGCGCTAGAGGAGTCAAAGCATCTGATTCAAAGTGCTGATGAAAACAAGGATGGAAAACTCAGTGAGGAGGAAATTGCTCAACACCATGATGTTTTCGTTGGCAGTGAGGCTACAGACTATGGCCGTGCCTTACCAAAACATGAAGAACTTTAAGTGCTCTGGTTCATTTTTGGTATTTTTAGATTAAACCTTATGGCATTTTTGTCCAAATTGGCTTTATTGCAAACAGCTAAGTCTTAATGAAGAAGCCCTTTAAGTAAAGACATGTTAGAAAATATATTAGTTCAAAGGACCTTTCCACTTTTATTGCACCTGTCATAAGTTTCAATTTCTGTAACTGCATTAAATTATATTGCAGGATTTGTTGGTTGTGGCCTTGCAGTTGTTTGAATGTTTTGCTTTTTTTGTTCTTATTTATATCTTTTGTTTAGAGTAATGTAGAAACCTTGTATCTCATTGAGCAGTTTGTACTCTTTGCTAGAAACAATTGACTACTTTTGACAGTTTCTAAATTTGTTGCAATATGTTTTTAACACATGAAATGAAAATCCCATTTTGGCAGAAGTGATTTTGGGGCTAACTATAACATTGAAAAGGAGATGATTATTAAAATTCTTTCTAAAGATTTAATGGTTTTCTGTGTTTTTTTTTTTTATCCCATAACCCCCACTTCCTTGGGTCATGCAAGCAATGGAACTCATTTAAACCAGATGGTGAGTTCTAGACCTCTGCAATTGCAGGAACTAGAAAAAAATCCACCTGTTAAGCTGAATAATGTTTGAGATAACAAGGAAATCTTTGGTTTTGCTTTACTTCATCATGTGATCTGGAAAACTAAGTCCACTTTTTCAACCAATCAGATTTCAGAGTAAAGGGAGTTCCCACTCCATTTATTGGTCAACACCGATTTAACTCGCCAACAGGGCATGATCCTCTGGGTCTTACGTTTGATAAATTTTATCACTTAATTTGACTAAATTGGGTGATAAATGTCACTCTTAAACGAGTTGAATAGAAGCCTAGCACAGAGGGTGACCTTGACGGTGCCAAGTCTACATACGTGGTAGCAAAAAAATCGGTTTAATACCCAAGAACAGGCTGTCGATATTACCACTGATTTGTTTTGTTTAGTTTATAAATCGCTGACTGTTTGGATAAGTTGTCTGATAGACACCTGCTGCACGAACCTTTCTTTTGAAATGAAACGACTCTTTGCCTTGAGAGTATCTTGACGATCCTTGAGTTAGTCCGTTTGAACGTTATCAAAACCAACATTCTCACTTTCTGGCAAACTTTTTAATATTCTTATTTTCGACAGGATCAAGCATCTCATTACGGGTACCCCCGAGTCCTTGCGACTTTCTAAAGGCCTGTTTAAACGGTTTCAACGTTTGACCAACATTCGTTCAACAAAAGTTAAACAGATGTTGGGCAAAAGTTGGACGTAAAAAAAAAGTTGTGCGGGGATCTTTCAAAGGCCTCAAAGTCCTTAAAAAGGAAAAGTCGAATCGACGTTGAATGAAAGTTTAAACCGATTTAAACTTGATTCAACACGCTTTCAACATTTCTTACGCTTTCAAAAATGAAAGCACCATCTTCCTCGGGAATAAATAAAAGCGACTTGAGTGACATGTTTCAAAATTTGTGCACGCAAGATACAACTGAAATGTACTTTGTCCACGCTCAAAGAGATGATTATTAAGCGTAGTATCGTAGAGTTGGAAAAGACAGAAAATGGCTAAAAAAAAGACTCACGGTACATGACTAGTTACTTCAATTAAGACACTTTGGATCCAAACACAAAAGGGAATGAAATTTCGGGTCGAAACACCTGTTTCCAAAGCTCCGTCAAAACTGTTTTCCTTTAGAGATTAATCTTGTAAGTTCTTTAGCTTGTCTTGCTTAAAAAAATTAAACTTGCACAATGAAAACCTAAGTAATATCTACTGGAAACAAAGATGCCAAAAATTTACAATAAAACTGACCTTTAGAATTAGCTCTTAATTACTTCAAATCACATTTTAGATCACAATAATAGCTTAACAAGTAATCAATGGGTCAACACTAGACTAAACTTTTGATAACGATAATTGGTCATTATCCGCGCAAAGGGTACGTTGTCTTGAATATCACTGCTTATATTCGAAATAGTATCCATAAAAGAAATCTCTAGTTCGATGTAAGCATAGAGGAAATGAAGACCAAGATAATGTATTTATTCTGCGAGCATAGTGTTCTAATAAAGCTGTAGTGACGTGAAATGGGAGTTCTTCTTTGAGTATTTCGACTTCCACGATCGCGGATTATGTGAAAACAGTGTTATCACTCAGAGATAAAAATGCGGCCCAAAGATCAATGAATCACGATCAAGTGATGACCTCAATTGACAGAGAAGTCGATTGTCCGTGAATTTGGTGAAAAAGGCGAGACTTAAAATAAAACAAAAAGTAATGTTGCCGGGAACACCTTGAAAATGTAATGATTCGACGAATATATCTAGTGAACAAAAGGTCCACATTTACATTTTATGATCTAAAATTACACGATTTTTAAGCTGTATCGCAGATTTATGAAACTCACCATAACTTCAGTTTTCCAGTTGACGAATTACAGTAAAAATTTGACACGTCAGGATTTTTTAAAAAGCTTCGTCATCAATAGTATTCCTCAGCTGTGAATCTAACTGTTTATTCATGAACGATAACAAAGTCGTAATTAAAATGCGCAAACAGCGATTACACAGCTGTCTACTAGCGAACTCATGGCAAAAACTGATTGGTTTTGTTACAACACATTGGGAATTCCTGTTTCTAATTTAAATGCTATCACTGACGATGCTCAGACATTGTATCCACATTTCTTTGCTGAGTCATTCGTAACCTTCAAAAAAGCGTTTTAAATTTTTACCAAATTACAGAACGGAGAAATTCACCTGTTATTCTTTTGAGGAGACAATGCAACCTGTTACTTTCGGATCTTTGCATTTCTTAGCATTTTCAGTAATTCTTAGTTTCAATTCTCCTTTTTCCTGCGCAGTAGAGCCACACAAAGATAATTTTCACAAACACGAGCATTTCGGTGCAAACCAGGAACACGATGTACGCTACGATCATGAAGCCTTCCTCGGGCCAGAGGCGGAGGAATTTGATCATTTAACTCCAGAAGAATCCAAAAAAAGGCTTCGAGTTATTGTTACAAAAATGATTGACACTAACAAGGATGGTCTGGTTTCGGAAGATGAACTCAGGGTGTGGATAGAGAAACAGAGAAAGGCATTCATGTACGAAGATGTGGACAAAAGGATCGCTAAAGAGGACGAAGATGGAGACGGTGAGATTTCTTGGGAAGAATACAGAAAATCGGAATACGGACAATGGGATAATTATGATCTTCCGAAGGACCACGTAAGTGATTGTTCTATTAAGGTTGTCACATTGTAAGAAAATTATATTTTCAATTCTATATATATAAGTTTTCAGTTGTAACACGTTACATCGTCGACACCAAAACAGGTTGAAAAATATTATGCGAATCGATTTTTTTTTCCCTGTTTCTCCGGCGGCTAAATTCCGATATCTCTTAAAATAAAGTTAATTCCCCTAACAGTTTTGCAGACATCCAGAATTTCGCCTTGATAAGAAAGACAAAAAACCCAAATCAAAGTTCTGTCCGCAAACTGTTTTAGAGAGCTCCGAGTGCCGTTTATCGTGGTTACATTCAAGAGAAAGGATGCAAGAACTAAAGTTTTTGAACTGTATATGAAAGTGATGACTGATCATGATATGAAAGTGATGAACTGCGGTTACTAAAACATTTTAAATGGTAAAATTTGAAAAAAGAAGAATTTGACTTTAGACGGAGAGTAGTCTTTACTCAAAATACTTTTATGTCTTCATTACAGCGAAGATCGCTTTGATATTCAATGCTTTTACTCTGACTTCAATCAACAGAATTTACGCCGTCAAATGCGAAAAAAAGAGTACAAATTCAACATCACAGACGCAGATAAAAATGGTAAAATGAACAGGGACGAGTACGTGGATTTTGAGCATCCCGAAGAGAACGTCAAAATGCAAGAAATTGCGTTAGATGAAGTCATCGAGGACGTGGACCAAAACGACGACGGGTATGGAAAAAAACACAAATCTTTTTAACAAAGTTAGCTATTTCTCTGCCTTTAAAAGCACACACAACCCACAATTCCTCTATTCGCTCCGACGAAGGGCTAACGCTCGAAACGTCAGCTTTTGGAATCGTTACGGTGGCCAATTTATCACTTAAACTTTGTTGATATATCCAAATTATTTAGCTATTTTTATGATTTAATGTTACAAAATGTAAGCAGAGAATGTGGGAATCTATTTCCTCCCACACACACATCGCCTCCAAAAAAAAAAAATAATACAATCACAATCATTTATCAATCCACTTAATTTGCCCCGTTTTAGTTTTTCGGTTTTTTACTTCTTTTGTATTTAAACATAATTTTTATTGTTTCCTCCCAAAGCATCTAGGTTTAACGATGGGAATCTCAGTTTCACAAATTTTAAATCAATTTGTCCAGGCTTACACACAAGCAGACACAAAAACAACACACACAAGTTGCAACAACAACGAGTTAACTAACTAGGCTAGGGATATAATATTTTAACAATAAAATTGATTGATTGTTTTTCGGTTGCACAACAAATTAAAATGACCGATCTTTAACTGATATCGAACGCGAGAAATAAGCTAGACATTGTTGATGCGATGTACGCGCGAGACTTCCCCTTCTCACACGCGATAGAATACACGTATGTATATAAACTAGTTTTTTCTTTTATTTTTCATTATCATTGTTTCGAACTTTTCTCCTTGCATATTACTCCAACCGCAGTGCGAGAGCTTTCGCCAGTGCCACTCTCTGCCTGCGCCGTTCGATGTTCCCTGGTTTAATTTCGTCGGCCCGAATTGTACTCGACGACTTACGCGTTTTCACCGGCGCCCTTTTATATTCCCATACGGCGTTCCGATTTTCAAAAAGCTGCTATAGGTTTCACTCACACTATTTTTTTTTTTTTAAGCCTCATTACCGTCGCCGAATTTCTAGGCCAGTACCACGAGGAAAAAGAACCACCAGCCTGGGTAGTGCGTCACCGGGCAGAATTTCACTCAAGGTTCGACAAAAACAAAGACGGTAAAATGGACCGTGAAGAAGCGAGAGAATGGGTCTTTCCCGAAAAGAATGATTCCCACGACGAAACAGCTCATCTCATCGACGGAACAGATGAAAACGCTGATGGATTTCTCTCTGTTGATGAAATTTTACTTCACTGGAATCTGTTTGTAGGAAGTCTAGCCACCGATCATGGTAAAACTTTGAGAAAAGTCAACCATACGGAACTCTAGTTCACAGAAAAAGTTAAATTAGGGTTACACGATATATATATATCCATTAGTCTCAGTATTCTGTCAAAGCCGACTCTCCTTTTTCTACCAAACCTTATCTCTTTTGGTCTACAAATAAAAATCCTAGTAATCAGCGAAGGCTTTTATGTATGCAATTGCTGTTGAGCGCCGTATATCTGAGATATTTGCTTTCCAAATTAATTTTTTTGTTGTTTGGGTAAGTGATAACAAGCACAGCCAAAGAGATTGTAAAATTTTCGGTTAATTACGTTCTGTTTTGTTAAAGCTCAAGCTTAAAGTTTCCCAGTAATGCTAATAATCTATTTTACAAGAGGCAGTGAACGTCATTTTAGAGTGTCAAGGTTTGTTGGGGAAGTAAATTTCTTTTTGTCTTTTCGTGAGTTTAAGATCGTAGCTAATACAATTTAATAACGACTACTTCTGCGTGAAAAAAATTGTAATATGAGGTCTTCATTCATCTCCTTGTTGGAATAAATTACAATAACAGTAGTTTATCATAACATATTTATAATAACGATCTCAGTTTATTTACAATTCAGATCTAACAAAGCTCGACGTATTTCAATGAAGTTGAGCAGTTGCGCACTAATTATCAGTGGTGTTCTCATCCATGATCTTCAATCTGCGACGTAAACAGCTGTCGAACCCTATGCCGCTTGTGCATAGCAATGTCATCAAATCGTTGTGCATAAATCCTGTAGATCTCGTTGCGCCTCTCTCTGGTGGCGTTGATTGAAAGCCGTGGCTCCTCCTCTACAAGCCGCCGGTTGCAAGAGGGTGTCATACCGGCTTGCACCTTCACTTTTCCCGCCTTTTCTTTGGTTTGTGCTTTTCTTGAAGGCTGCTTGTCCTGAGTCTTACTCCCAATGACTGGAAGTTTAGAACTGGGGGCAGACTGGGAAAGAGGGAAAGGTTTACGGTACACATTTGTCGGTTTACCAAACCTATGGCTAAACTGGCCCACTGCTGTATTTCTTTCCCTAAAACGACACTTTTAAGCGTTATTTCTTACCGCTGAAATTCACTAGTAAGAGCAGAAGACTAAGGGTGGCAATTTTTAACAGACTACTTCATCTCACTGTAGTCATCCGATTCATTGACGGTGAAATAGATTGTGGTTTCTTAGACTGGTAACTTATTGTTTAAGCCTTGGAATTTATTAAAGTTGAAAATATGGAGGGGGTATGCCGGGGTGGGTAAGATGTCGGAAATCGTGGAAAAAAATGATTAAGTTTAATGAACTTAAAAATTACTTTTAAATAGAATAACATTCTATTTCCAAGATACAAAAACCCAAGAAGCCAAGAGAGGCCAAGTGAAAATCCTTTCTTGGAAGACGAGTTTTCAAACAGAGTTTGGGTATCTCGGGAATCGTGTGTTGACTGACATTTACCAGCCAGAGTGCTAACAGAGCGAGACTTAGAGGGGGTATAGAGTTCCAGGTGCATGAGACCTCCTCTAGATCAAGAATAAGCGATAATTTAAGATGATATAGTAACTTGATAGGTACCCCTCCCAAATACCAATAAGACACCTATGTATGACCCCTCTAGAGAGAATTCACTGCGTCCCCCTGTGTTACCTAGTGCAATGTTACCTGTTTGCAACCTAACTGGCTTGTTTATCGACCCTTCCCTGACCCCTCTCGAGAGAATTCACTGCGTCCCCCTGTGTTACCTAGTGCAATGTTACCTGTTTGCAACCTAACTGGCTTGTTTATCGACCCTTCCCTGACCCCTCTCGAGAGAATTCACTGC